GAGCATCTGCAAAGCTGGAGGTCCAAACTCCACCCCGGCGCTCGCAATGAGCAGGGCCCGGGGGAACCATCATCTCCTCCACGTCCTCCCTTCCGTGCTCCCCATTTCGCAGGGTGGCAGAGGTTGGGCTACCACGCGGGGTGGTCCTGGCCACGTTCCCCTCCGCGGCTGCTGCCCACTGCAGCCAAATCCTGCAGCCCTTCCTGGTGCAGGACTTGTCCCAGGAGGTCCAGATGGCAGTGTCCCCAGGCACAGGCTGCTCACCAGCAGCTCCGGGACAGATGCAGTGGGAGGTTGTGGGGAGCAGAGGACAGGGAGCCTCCGTGGGCTGCTCTGCCGGAGCAGCACGGATGGAGACTGCGGTATCTCCTGGGAGCCATGCTGGTTTCTGTTGTGTTAGGAGGGCCTGTGCCGTGAGATGAGGTGTGGAGAAGTCCCTTGGCTCCTCAGAGGAGAAAACAGGATGGTCTGCAAGACAGAAATGCAAGTCACAATTTGGGCCAAATTCGCCAGGTTTCTTAAGTGTTTGGATGGAGCATTTCGACCTCCAGGGTCAAATGTCCCTGGTGCCAGGGCTAGGAGCCTAAGGACATCAGACAACGGCAGCAAAGAGGGGGACAAAAGGCAGATCCTCGCCTCTATTCTGGGGCTGGCACAAGCTCATGTCTAGGGGATCGGCTCCGCTGTCTCTCTTCTCCTCCTCTCCCAGATTTGAGGTGCCCTGGGCTCAGGGAGGAACAGCAAAGTAACCATCCTCAGGGAGGTCAGTGCTGGGAATGGCTTGACCATCAGTGCAGGAGGGCGGCTAACTGCGGGCATCCTCGCCAGCGATGCGTGCAAGGCAGCAGGAGCCCCGCTGCGGTGGCTGCCATGCCAGCTGGAGATGGCCGAGAGCCAAAAGCGAACCACCCAGCAGAGCCAGGAGCCCTCTGCTGCCGCCAAGGCAGGCTCACGAGGGTGAAAAGGAGGAGAGACGCGTCAAAACCCCTCCCCAAAATCAGCGCTGCTCTGGCAAAGCCTACGGCAGCTGCTCCCATCTCCTGGCTGGCGTTCGCGGTGCTGGGCAAGAGCTCCGGGTCTAGCAGCTACTTATTATACGCTGTTCCCTGGATGGGGGTGCCTCGCTATCGGCTCAGAGCCCAGCATGTCGCCCAGGGACAGCCAACCTTCCTGTCCCTACCAGCCGTGACCCCGAGGCTGAGATCCTGGAGACCTGGGCACACCTGAAGTTATGGGGTGTCTCAGGACAGAGCTTCCCCGGGGGTCTCATGGTGGGTAGGTGGGCAAGGCTGGGCCCAGGAGGGCCTCTCGTCTCCGCCTTCTCCAAAAGTGGACCAGATTGAGCCGCCGGTGGCTGGGAGCAAGAGAAAGGGTGGGGTTTGGTGGCTGATCTCCAAACGAATGACGGTGACTTGAATCTGCTGGGGATACTGGAAGCAAGGAAAGCTCATCCGACTTGATCCAGCCCATCCACCGGGTCCAAATCATCTGAGAGTCACTTGGGAAACACTGTAGCCCAGTGGGAAAACCAGGTGAGATTTTGTGGGGTTTTATTTTGCAACAAACTCTTCTCCTGGCTCCACCAGCTCTGCCCGCCGAGGGGAGCTGCCAGCAAGGCACCACGTACAGAGACTTCCATGGTGCCTCTCAGTGTGCAGGGGTCAGCTAAAGCCCCCTCCCAACTTCTCCCCCAAGCCCAGCTCCAGCGACACACTCGCCCCTGCTCTGTTTTTAGCACATTCAAGTAGCTGCTTTCACAAGAGGTAAAAGAAAGTTCATGGATCCGTTGACAGATGAGCCCAAGCGGGAATTTCTCTGGGAATTCCTGCAATAGCAGGTTGGCTCCCGCGGAGGTGGAGTTTCCTCTGGATCTACCTCCACCCAGGCTTGGGGAGCGCTCCAGCCGCTAACGGTCTCCCTCCCTGGGGCATCGGCCGTGCGCCAC